AACCTCCCTAGCAGAACAAAGCTAAATTGCAATTCTGAGTAATTTATTTTGACTTTCGCTAACTATCACTCTGCATGTTATAGAACCTATTGTAAATAAACGGAATGGACAGAAGTTCCTTCTTTGTTACTTTGACACCGTGTTTATCACTTGCTTCTCCTGGAGTTTATGCAATGGCTGACTACTGAGACGTTTTTGCGAATACATGGGGGTTGCATGGATTCAAAAATGAAGAACTTGTTAGGAGTTTGAAGGATAGAGAAAAGGGAACTAAAAAAAAGGTGTAATTGAGGAGGACTAAGAAGAAACATGGATTTATTAGGAATTGGAAATGATGATGATAAAGGAAAGTGAAAACCATTGTGGGGGAACTTTGTCCTCTACAGTTTCCCTTCTCCTTTTATCATCTCCCTGGTTGGCCCAGGAGTCTACTCAGGAGAAAGCCAGCTTATTTAATAATGTGCATTAGTGAAGATATAAATACCGCTTTCAGTCTCAAGCTCTGCATCAAAATGAAGAAACTACAAAGAACGTTCCCTTTTAAACTGAATTGGTAGACCTTTTCTATTACATCTGCAAGTAACAGCGTAATGCTATCAAGAGCCTTTTTATAATTATTTATAATTTTTTATAATTACTTTAGTTATTTATAATATGATATTTCTAATGAGTTATTTCTCTAAGNAGCGCACTAATCATGAGGCCACTGAACCTCCCTAGCAGAACAAAGCTAAATTGCAATTCTGAGTAATTTATTTTGACTTTCGCTAACTATCACTCTGCATGTTATAGAACCTATTGTAAATAAACGGAATGGACAGAAGTTCCTTCTTTGTTACTTTGACACCGTGTTTATCACTTGCTTCTCCTGGAGTTTATGTAATGGCTGACTACTGAGATGTTTTTGCGAATACATGGGGGTTGCGTGGATTCAAAAATGAAGAACTTGTTAGGAGTTTTAAGGATAGAGAAAAGGGAACTAAAAAAGGTGTAATTGAGGAGGACTAAGAAGAAACATGGATTTATTAGGAATTAGAAATGATGATTAAAGGAAAGTGAAAACCAGTGTGGGAGAACTTTGTCCTCTACCGTTTCCCTCCTCCTTTTATCATCTCCCTGGTTGGCCCAGGAGTCTACTCAGGAGAAAGCTAGCTTATTTAATTATGTGCATTAGTGAAGATATAAATACTCCTTTCAGTCTCAAGCTCTGCATCAAAATGAAGAAACTACAAAGAACATTCCCTCTTAAACTGAATTGGTAGACCTTTTCTATTACATCTGCAAGTAACAGCATAATGCTATTAAGAGCCTTTTTATAATTATTTATAATTTTTGATAATTATTTTAGTTATTTATAATATGATATTTACAATGAATTATTTCTCTGAGGCAAGTACCAGAAGTAGGATAAAAGAAACTAATTATTATGAGGGTCTATTTTGTTAACTAAATCGCCATGTAAATGCCACATTTTCCCTAAAAGGCAGACCGTGATGGTGACGGTGTTGGCGATGTCTGTGTTGGTGACACTGATGGTGACTCTGTGGTGGATTATCAGGTATTAACTTACAGGGCATAAGTTAATATTTATTTTAATAGTT